ATAAGAAAGGTGGTACTTTGATTCCACACACACCTGTAATTCAGACAAGTTATAATAATAAAAAATAATTCCTATCGATAGCTTACGAGAAGATTTTACTTTACACGACAGTTGGAACATCAGGTGGAGAGTCAAAATCGCTGTTGTTGTTCTGCCGGTAGGCTTCATTATTGGTTTACGTCGTCTTATCTTTTTGATACCGTAAAAACAACATTAATATAATCGGGGGAGTTAAAACAGACCATTTTGCAATCACAACTGAAATTCAAACTTTCAGAAAATTAAGTCAAGGGCTCAGGTGTTTGGAAGCTGAATGTTTTGTTGTTACTGAACAAGGATTATATTGAAGTAATGAAGCGAAATATTCTAATATGGTCTAGCGAGCCTAAATCTAATTCTGATAATTCACAAATGCCATGGGATTAGCTAAATTATAAAATAAGCGAGTTTTCTGTAAGCTTTGCTGAAAAAGGTACAAAAGAAAAGAGCGGAAGAGAAACCAAATTTGAAGCAGGAATTGGAAAAGTTTAAACCGCTTCATGAGATTCATCCGACTACGGAGACTTTAAATCTGATACAAAAAGTTCGAGCAAACCCAGAGTCTTACAAAGAAAAAAGAATTGATGGAATAATTGTTAGGACTAGCATGGAGGAAATTTAGAAAATACGAAAATTAAATCAGAGTGGAACTATCACAAAGGATCCCTATAAAATATTAGAAGGTCAAATAAATTTTTACAAAGAATTATACTGTTCAACAACAAAAGACCTTTACGGCCCCGAAAGTAGTTTGTTTTTTGACAACCCAAATATTCCGAAACTTACAGATGATTTGAAGAACTTATGGAGGGTGAGGTGACAATTAATCCTTTAACTCATGAGAGTGGCTAGCATCTAATTTCTCCTCACCAATGAATCACACATTAATGTCATGAGAATAAAGGAAATGATCACCAACTAAGGAAACTCTTGATTTTTAGGCAAATTCTCCTTGTCAGCACATTGGTAAATGTACGGAAAACAGAATGAAGACCATGAATACTGACATTAGGCCAAGGAAGTTTCAAGGACTTTTAGAGATAATGAAGGCCCTGGTAATAATGGTGTACTATTTAAGTTCTACAAAAAATTTTGGTCTACTGTCTGAGTTCTACAAAAAATTTTGGCATCTCTGCGAAAGTTTGATAAACTTTTCATGCTGCTTTCGAATCAGAATTTTGTCCATCTCGCAGAGGCAGGCAGTCATTACATTAATCGATAAGAGAGATAAAGATCGTTCTTATTTGAATAATTGAATAAATTCTACCCCTTATGGCATTCATAGTCATGAAAGTGGTTATGTGGAAGGAAAGTATGTTGACGAAACAAATGGAATGTTGCATGACTGAGTCATGCAAGGTGAGGCAAGTCATCAACCCAAGCAAGTCATCGACTTGCCTGGGTGTGAAGCTTGATTGTAGACTTTCATGGTTTGAAACGTTTCTCAAGTCAGAAAATCTGTTTAAAGGCAAAAGGTTAAAGCAATGAAACGAATAAAGTATCTACCTCTAAAGACTTCTTTCAAGACAATAATTCCGAGTCTAACTTCTGTATTTTAATTTGGGAAACTGCTCTACAGCCCCTTTTTTCTTCTCTGGAATTGACACATTCGAGAGCAGCGAAAGTTATTTTCGACCTCGATTCGTTTATTTCTGATGCTGATTGTCTTTTGAATTCTCACTGGCCCTCTGTTTCTTGTTTTTACGAAACGTCTGTCCTTGTATTCATGCACAAGGTTTATTTTGATTCCCTGTCTTTTTGGCCCGATGAACTGTTTTCGAAGAAAGTCACTGGTAAATCTCTACGAGCTATATAGATGTTTACACCCAAACCTAAGCCTGAGGTCGGAAGAGATTCCTTAAGGTACAGAAAACCCCTCATATGGATCTATATGAACAAAATGATTGACGTTTCGAGTAGTTTAAATAGCTTCAAAGCTTTTATAAGAAAATTAAAAGCTGACCTGGAGGCTTTCTCTTTCAACAAAGAAGTTGCCACTGTTACGGTGAAATCCAAGGACTTTAATTACTTTTAACATTGTTTTGAGCTTACCTTACAAATGAATGAACTGCGAACTTTTTATTTGCATCTGTAAATAGTTTTACTTCTTATAATGTTCTTAATCATATGTATGTAGGTCCACATCAGCCTTTGGCTGCCCTGTTCTAACCTACTCAAATAAAGTATGTTAAGTATGTAATTAAATTTGCAAAGACTAAGGATAGAAGTGGTATTCTGGCATTTCTTGACTTTGAGAAAGTGTTTGACAGTATTGAATGGAACTGTATATTCAGACGTTTTGAAGATTTTGGTCTTGGCCTTGTTTTTAGGAGATGGGTCTTATTTCTATACTCTAATGTATCGAGCTGTATTTAGTAAAAACGGTTTGTATTTAGATTATTTTATATAAATAGAGAGAGGAGTCTGACAAGGGGACCCTTTCCGCCTTATATATTTTTATTGCGGTGGTAGAATTATTGCAATTAGCAGTTAGGGCTAATGATAAATTTCGTGGAATTAGTATTGAGGACAGTGTAATAAAGCTACTACAATACGCAGACAATACAACTGGGGTTTTAAGAGACGAAGTCTCGCTGAAGATGTTATTGGAGATACTAAAATCCTTTGAAAAAATTTCAGGCTTAGATCAACCTCTAAATCTGAATATATGGGTTTAGGAGGAGATCGCGGTCAGAAGGGTGATCTCTTTGGTCCCAATTGGCCTATTCGGCCTACACGTCCAGGGGTTTATTTAACTTATGATTATGATGATTTATTACGATGAACAACGTCTCAAGTAAATTAGAAAACACAGCAAATTGGTGGAAACGAGAAGAGGTTAAACTCTATATGGTAGGGCTCAGGTAATTAACTCTCTTCTTTAGCCCAAGCTAATCTACGTAGCAAGTATGTTTGTTTTTCGGAAGAAATTATCAAATAAATTAATAGAATTGTTTCTAACTTTCTATGGACAAGTCAGGATAGGATTGTGAGAACATTGTGAGATTGTGAGATTGAGAGTCTTAGATTTTGATCTCATTGCTTGTAAGATCTCTTCTCTTATCACGGATAAAAAGGTTGTACAATGGTTAGAATGCTGGCTGGAAGTGTTACCTCAATAATTTGCTACAACTTGTGGAGGATCTTTTCTCTTCTATTGTGATTACGACCCAGAATACTTCAATATTTCAAATGTTATTTTAAGCAGAACTGATTCAGTTCGGGGCAGATTTCAAATGAAACAGTAGTAAAAATATCATGATAGATGGGAAACCGGTATTTCACTACACTTTTTTGATAAAAACAGAAAAATATCATTTCAGTCGGTCAATTAGGTTTCTCAAAGAGTAATTTAGCCTCTGGATACTATTAGAAATGAAAAGAATATAAAATGCAATCTCCTACAAGGGGTTGTGAGCAGCTATCCTAAGTATCTTAAGGCATGAGGAAGATGATGTCATAAAGGGTGAAAAACTGGGTTTTTATTTTAATGATACTCTTTTTGATACAGGGGTGACCAAATGCAAGCGTCACTCTAGCATGCTTAAAGAGTTAAAAACTACCCTACCCTACCCTACCCTTCCCTACCTTACCCTATCCTACCCTCCCTACCCTACCCTACCCTACCCTTGCCAAAACCTCAGGATGTCACACAACTGTTCAGGAGGGTCAACAAGAAGTGCCTCCGTCTAAAAGCACTTATGTCAATGACAAGGATGTATGGGTCTGCTCTACCACAGTGGGACAAAGGGTTTGTGGCACAATCACTGAGCGAACGAGTCCATTTCTTTACAAGGTAAATAACCAGACCTGGAGGCGCCTTGTGAAGAAACTGCAGGATAGCTACCTTGCCCCACCTAGAAAGGAAACAAATGATTGTTTTGTTCCTGAGATAGGGAAACACGTGATGCCTGTAGTTCCAGAGACCGAGCAGAAGGAAGCGCCAACTCAGTCCTTAAAAGCCAACCTAAACCGAGCCCTGAACCAAAGTTGATTACCACCCACCCACCACCCACAAGTTTTAATGCTACCTGCCAGATTGCAGGACTTTACTTGCGATTTAGGAGGACTTTATTTGTGAGATTGCTGGACTTTGTTCGCAAACCAGAGAACTTTATCTTATTTCACTTTCATCTTGTTTTATGTGTGTTTTGTAAGTTCACATTTTGAAATCTAAAAGGGAAGAAAATTGTTAGATCTTTCCGTTTGGGTTTTCTCATACCCCATATAACGTTTTGCATATTTGGGCTGTCCACGAGGTTGAAGTTGAAGAACTATAGAAAGCCCCATCAACACACCGCTCTATACCGATTTATACTCTCTTTAATACATCTTTTACTCCACTTGTTTTCACCACTTCGCTAGGCAAGTCCTGTGTCTCATCGCCTCGCTTCAATAAACTTTGTTTACGTCTTTATTGTGGTGGACATAATAATTGTGACTACCCTTTCCAACAGCGCGACAAAGAATTTTCGGTTTTAACGTGGGATTAAGCAATCGTCCTGCAAGTAATGTTCCGCGCTCACACATCGACTGATTGACTGTTATAAGAAAATTGCTGGCTGCAAGGATCCATTTGGAATATTTGGGAGAACAGTGTGTATCCTACAATTTATGTCAACGCTTCCTCAAAGGAGGCTCTTTAACCTTTTGACCCCTAAGAGTAAGAAGTATCTAATTTGGCCTTACAATATCTTCCCAAAATCGCAGGTTAAGGTCGTGAGAATAAAGGAAATGATCACCAACTAGAGGAGCTCTTGAACGTGAAACAAATTCTCTTTTTCAGTACATTAGGAAATATATAGAGGATAGTAAGGGGAATATACATACTGATATTAGGGTGTAAAGGGTTAAAGAATGCTTTGATCTTTTATAGCATTGTTCAGAAAAGTTATCCACTTAAACTTGTCTTCCCTTAAGTGCTGCGATGTTACTCCTATGTCAACTCACCGATAAAACGCTTGACAATTCAATAGCTTTAATTCTTTTTCCTTTCCATACACAAGCAATAAAATAGCAATGAGTTTTACCAATCTTGACTTAACTGAGACACTTAATTCTGAAACTCACCGAGTTTTGATTGGTCATACTTGCAAATTAAAAAAAAAGTTGCTTTGCCTTCTTCACACATGTTTGTATATGCAAACGCTTAGGTAATGGAACATATAGTAAGCAAAAGTGGAAACGCTTAAATATGATTTAAACCAAGTTTAAGTAACACGTCTAAATGTGATTCAATTAAAGTTGAAGTAAGACAAAAATCATTCGATGATATGGAGCTTTTATCCACTATAACGTGGATCAGTACAATTGAGGTGCAAGATCATTTCACGGTTCAGGAACGCATACATGCTACATTCTGATTTTGCTTGACTGAAACAGATGACGTTTTCCTAATGTTAACAGTCATTGTTTTCAGTGCCACGTTTACACCCCTTGGAGACCACGATAAAAACATGTCCTCAGCCCTGGCCTGTTGATCTTTAAATGAATTCAGATTGATGCCTTTACTTTTTGCCAATGAGCGCACTTTAAACGTCGCCTTGGGGAAGGGAATGATAATGAGTGCAGCGTAAGATTAGCCCCAAGTTTGCCATTAACGAAAACTAAGAGCATGACGTTCATGAGATGTTTCTTTAGAACACCCAATTTAACGTTTCAAGTAAAAATTCTTAACCTCCCTATTGAAAAAAAAATTCAAATATCCAAGTATTTACTCCAGCGTGAGTTGTACTAAAATTGCACTAACCAACTGACTTGCTTAGGATAGTTTATTAACGTTCAGCCGTCTTTCTCTACGACCGATTTAAATCAGTTCCAACACTTTACTGCAAAAATTCATTGACGACAAGAGCGCGAACACGTCAATTTCACTTTTTGGCGGATTTTTAAAGAATAGAAATTCACCAAAAAGTTCTATAAAAATTTTCAAAAAAAGAGCTTGCTTAATTCTCCTTGCTACACATATTTCATCTTTTAGTCTTGGTGACGGATTCTTGATATCTACAGTCACCTCTTCTTAAGGCCATAAATCTCTAACTAGACAGCTGAACATCTATCAAATGCTTGTGGCTGTGTACTTTATCACCATTGAAAGAGACTCAAAGGCACCAAATGTTGAAGAATTATTCCTCACCATAGTTTTTAACAATTCTCTGAGCTTGCCTTACATACTGCTGCTGTCTATAGTAGATCCTGACAACTCCTTTCACTGCCACAAAGCTTATGCCTCCCTGAAATAACAGCATAACAATTACTAAAGTTGTGTATGGATAAAATAAGAAAAGTGCTTTTTCCCACTTTTTAAAGTGCAGGTGATACTTTCCCATTCGTTTTCTGTATTCATAAAGATTCTCTTTCTTTTTCTTTTTTTTTTTTTTTTGAAGCTTTTCAGCAAGAATTTTAGACACGTTGAATTGTATTTTCAGCCATCAAAAGGATAAAAAGAATTCTTGCCGCACCCAAAATACCTACCCGCCCCCTCCACTTCAAATGGCCCAAACTCTATCAATTTTCGCCAGAAATTCCCTGAATCTAACAAACCCAGAGGTTTGGTTCACCATGCAACTGACAACTGATGAAATGAAAGTTCAATCATAATACACATGAAAAGGAATAAAATCAATTGAAGAGTGAAGCTATCAATCACAGAAAGCGACATTTCCACTGCGGCGTCTTCGCCACTTTATGAGGCTGAATGGGTACGCGTCCCTGTTTTAAAGAACACGATAGTTAGTTGCCCTACATGTACGTGAGGTTTGGCACACTTTCATTTGTGATATTGTTCCCTTGCAGATCCGCTTTAAAACTGGTCAGCTTTTGCCCTAGTTGATTGAAGGCGTCCATACTTGCGTAATTTCTTCTCCATATATGGGTGGGTGACTTGTTTAACCCCATTAGTTTATGAGTTTGGGTCACAAACAGTTCGTGTCCTGTTATGTTCACGTGTTCTGCTAAGTTGTGAGTTTTTTGTTGTGATGTCCTTTCATTGTTTCGCACATTGCTCTCCTCGTTTCCCCAATATACCCTTTGACGCATTCAATCAAAATGTTTTGGAGGACACCGTCCCGTTTGCATGGTCAAAGTGAGTCTTACGGCCGCTCTCAGTGTGACCCGATCGTCTTGTCCGATTTGGAAATGGTGCACACGTCTCGTTGTTGTGGGCAGCGAGGAAGATGTCCTGATATATCTTTAATATGAAGTAGTAACGCAGAAGATCTGAAATCCTACCTAGGTTCTCCTCTGGCTGTTTATATTTTGTTCCTTACTATTGTAATAGTAAGAAGACTCTTAATATCCAGAAGATAACTATAACTAACAACAACGATATTTTAAAAGAAGGTCTGTGAACAGACTTCTTACTGTTTCCATTTACAGTATATTTCATTTTACACCTTTTGCTGTTCATTAGCTGAAAAAAATAACTATGTTTATTAATGTGAATAGGTAAACCACCAATGTCAAATTATTCTCACGGGTCATCTTGGGTGTGGCAATACACTTTACGATCTTTATTCAGGGATTATTGATCCTTTTATTTTCAATCATAAATATAAGTTGACTTTTCTTCTTGGTAAAGGGCTATAGTGTTTATATGATAAACAAAATAATGCATGGTTGCTTGTGAATATAAAATTTCTCTTCTCATATTCAACTTGACATCTTACTCCTTTGCTGCGCTCACTTGTGAGCTATTAAGTTTAACACCTGAAGAGAAATTCCATATCCATGTGCACCCATGTATTATTCGCTATTTCTCATTGGGTCCCTTGCTGTAAAGGATTCCTTTACGACACCTAAAAATTTCTTTCCCACATCAGTAGCGATGTTCGTGCTGAGGGGTGGGTATCTTTCTGCCCTAGTTCTCTCCTCACTATGAATCTGGTTGTAACACTTGCTAATACAGAGATGCCACTTCATCGAGGGATTATTTGCTTGATGAGATTTAGCGAAGCCTTTAGTTGATAATCAGGGGAACGTTCTTGATGATGGAGTGTGAGTGATTACATTCACAGCACACATACAGCATGATGTTGTTGGGTTTGCATATGGAGCGTAAGTTCCTTTGATTAGGTTCAGTGTAAACCTTGCTTGCTTCAATTGTTATTTTCATGCCATTGTTGGTGAACACTTTGCAAATATCTTTCTCAATTCTTTTGATCTCTTTTGCTTTTGTTGAAATGCACCACGGCCGCCATAGTAGTTGAACAACTATGATCCCACTAGTTTTCAGGTTTCTGCACCATCAAAGGAGACCATTGTTACATCAAATGAGGCTGGTGAATACCTCTTGTTCCATGGGATGTCATCGTTGAACAATAGCAATTGCTTAGTGTGGAAAATAATTCTTCCAATTTAAACAGAGATGCTGGTATAAGAAGCCGCAAAAGTTCGGGCATCCTTGAGGGGCTTGTATGAAATGGATGGGTAGAAATTAACAATATTGAAGGCAATGAAGTGGTGATCTTTGTATGTATATATATATATATATATATCAGGGGATGTTATTGATTTTTTTATTAGTGTAGGGATGAAAGTATAGTCTCTCTGTATTTTTCCCTATTGCAACATATATATACATACATACATATATCTTATTGACTAAGCATAATGTCAAGATGGACAGATATTGCACGAGTTCCCTTTTTATGGACTACGATGAAGTCAAGGTCCATAAACACACAAAAAAAGAATGAGAAAGATTTTACTTTGTAAGAGTCAAGAATGATTTGTTTATTTCAAGAGCAAGGAAAAAAATGCCAATTGCACAATAAAACCATGAAATCAGTGTTTTTCCAGCTTTGATTGTCATCTGCTGCTTCTTGCAACTCCATGTGAAATTTTGCGACTCTATGAAAGTCCACTCCATGTAATATTTTTTTTGAAAAGGATCAAAATTCTTGCTTGCCTGGGTAGCCAATGAGATAATAGGACTTGCTTCATATTGCCCACAGGTGCTGCCAGTGATATAATAGGTGATCTTCACACACCATTTTTTCAGATGCAATAACATTATATTACATCAACAGATGACCATGCATTTTTTGCTATATGCAAACAAATCTTCATGCATTCATTCCATGAAATATAGGAGAATGAAAGCCATAGCTTTTAAATGGTGAAATGGCCATGGTGACAGTAATGTTTCCCCACTTGTTCTCCACAAGCGGCTTGTACATGAATGTTCATTCTCTCCTTTTCTTGCTTGTAATGCCATGGTTAAATCAATAATGTATCTGTTTTTGCTTAGATTTACGCATTTTAATGAAATTAAAAATAATTTGGCTAATTAGCCTACCTATTCACACAACTGAAAGTATCTTCTATGCGCATGAACAGAAAAGGTGTAGGTATAACCATTTAAATTAAAGTCTTTGGTCCTACAGTGTGCACTGTATACACAAAGTTGAGGGGAAAATTTTCAGAACAATTTAAATTTCATACACAGTAATTTAACACTTACCAGTAAGGCTCGATGCAGACTTGAAGGGACAAACCCATAACACACTTTGCCGATAAGTGTGGAGATTGTTGGCAGAATCAAAGCACCACAAAGGAGCCTGGTGAGAGACACTGGGTCAGATAATGGTGTGGGCTCTGCTGGAGTGCGTGATGCATAATCACACGCAGCTAAACTGGGCAGAATATGGCCAAGAAAGGACATCTTACTGAAATGGCGTCTCCACAACCTTAACACGTGATCCTCCCAGCGAACCATTTTCCCAAGTATAAGTGCCAAAGGGATAGTTGGAAGTCCAACAAATAAGAACAAAGGATCAGCTTTTTCCATAACCTCAAGTCCTTCTTTATGACCCAAAACCTGCATAACGGTAACTGCTCCATAAGTGACAGCAGACCAATATAATGACCCAACAATGACTCCTGCCGCAGCTATGGGGCAGAACTTATGGATAAGTTTATCTAAGAACTCCACAGATTGAAGCAGAGGTCCTAAAGGTGGAAATACAATGACATATTCTGCATTGCACTGTGGGCAAGACACTTTTGTTGTTGAACTGCCTGCTTGCTTTTCATCAATCCAGCGTTGAAGGCAAATCTGGTGGACCCATTTTGTTGTCCCACGGCAACGACAGGGCCGAACCCACTGTGACAAGGGTTCATCTTCTTCTGTAGCAAAACATACCCAACAACGTCTATAAGATAAAAATTATAAAGGTTATTAAATAAGAAATTTTAATCTTTTGAATTTAAACATTCACACAAAAAGTTCTTCATGTATTCCTCAAAATTTGAAGGCTCCATGGTTACTGAATTGGGTTGAAAAACGTTTTTAAAGGTAAGAAGGTAATCAGGGGAATACCTAATCACAGTCTAACAAAAATAGAAAGAAACACTTGAAATTTAAAACTACATGTATGTTTATTTCACTCAGAGAATCTTTTCTAAAAACCACAATAATTATATTTAATGCTCAGGCTACTAGAAAATGTGGAAAGTTTCAGTGTCAAAAATGACATGGTCAACCTGTCCATCAGATTCATTCCACAGAAATATCAACCACATTGGTTGAAGTGTACAACCATTCAGCCACTGTAACATCCACTCGTGGTCAACACAAATGAAAATGAATATGCCCTCAAACACAGAGGAGTGAAGTTACTCAAGTTTATCAAACTTATCCTCCATTTTTGACAATGGAAGGAGAAAATCAATGTTTGGTAATTAAAATTTCTTCACAAACAAGCGCTTAAGCCTAAATTTCTTCTATAACAGAAATAAAAGATTCACCAAGTGCATCTTTAAATTATAAAAGCACTTGGGATATTTCAAGAACACTCAAAAAGTATCCTCTGTTCTCTAAAAAATGTTCAATTGCAAAAGAACTGCCCAATGCTGTGATTCAAGCCAAGTTAACTAAATACCACATGTCAAGTAAACACCCCCCCCTCCATGTAGCATGAACATCTAAGTAACTGCATGGACACCAAATGTGTTGGTCCAAAAAATTATTCATTGCTCTGGTTTGATTTGACTTTAATCACTGATGAGGACTTAAATTCCCATAAAAATGGACTTGACAATTGTTCCACAAGAGTGTCTAGGATACGAGATAGTGAATAGCCACTGAAACAAGTAGCATTAAGTCTTAAATTCAATTACCCTGAACAGAATGACTGTCTAACACATTCTATAAGTTTTGATATTGCTGTAAAAACTTGCAAAATTAATTTTCAAACTGAAAAAAGGTCTGCTTAAACCACTGAGCAAACAACCAACTTTGGCCCCAAAAGTGGCAAAATGATCACCAGACAAGTGCATTGCTTCACAATTAAAGCTGGAAGAAACAATTAACATTCTATTTGTGCCCATCGGATACAAAATTTGTTATGGCTACCTATGGAACGTGCCCCATTGGCTACTTAGCATCTCATATTCAATGTCCACTCTAAGGATAATTGCAAAAGATACAGCAATATCACTATCAAAAAACATTTAAGGGTGCCAGGAATATTGTTTATCTGATTCCTTCATCCATACTTGAGTTCCAGCTTAACAACATATACAAAAGTTGTGCACAGTTTGTGTGAAACCAAGTGATGGACGCAATCAAGGATGGCTGAACTTAATTTGTGGCTGAGAGAGAACCTTACTGAGACCAGTGTTCAGCTTAAGTGTAAACAAGGTTAAGAGCAACATGTGGCACTGACAATGTGAATGTTTTTACAGGTTTGTTTTTAAGCTTGAGTTCTCTAAGGGTTGTACCACATGACATTTTTTTAGTGCTTTCATTTGCAGCCTCTCATGATTGTTTTGATTGGTTGTGGGTTGTATGCAAACCTGTATTTGCATCCTCAACAAGCCCTTTTTGTACATAAAGATAAAGTCTCATGAATGGATTGGATAGTAGGTTCAATATTTGCTCATCCTTTTCAATTTCTTTTCTACTTTCCATTCTCCAAAAACTATGAGCACTGAAGGCTGCAAACTGATGTGATTTAGGTAGTTCAAGCAGCTCAGTATTCTTCCAAAATAAAGTCAAAAGACATTTTGTATCTAATATTCTCTTTGTGGAGTCGAAAGCTCATTTTAGTCACTAGCATAATTTAGATTCCCCTTTTGTTAGGGTTTCAATTATTCTACAGCAAATTTTAGTTCCAAATTGAGAAAGAAATACAAGAAGCATAACTATCTGTTCTGCTTGTTTACCTATATCAAAACCAAATTTCTAAGCTTAAGGGTTACTATATTATCTGAGTTATGGGGGTCACGACAACCGAACCGTTCAACTGATTCGAGCGGCAGTCTATGGTCCTATTTCAGCGCCAGTCAATGGTCGAACTAAAATCCTTCAAGTTCGTCCAAAGCAATACTTAAGAAATGCGTACGTTTACTAACCTGAGGCCTGAGGACGACAAATACCAAGGCAGTTCACAATAAACTTGGCGATCATCACGCACACAGCAACTTCAGCTGTAATTTTACCATTAACCGCATAAAAAATTCCCTGTTCTGACATTTTAAGTTAATTACTTGACGAAAAATCAACCGACCGAGTGCCGATCGCTTCCTTGTTTGAACGCGTGTTGTTTAAAGTTCTCTAGAGTTAGTGCTTAGTGCAGCAGATCGGAGGATCCAAAGATGTAGCACTTGGGGATACTGACCTTATACTTTCGCAAGCACTGGTGCTACTGACAACAGATGGACCTCCGCAACTATGTGTATAAGATAACCTTCCTTCGCTCTCTAGCCGCTCTAATAAGCTGGCAACTTAGATTAGGGATCGAAGGCAAAGGCCTGTTGGAGGAGTTTTATGGCTTATTAACCTACCTTATATCCCAATCATCAACCAAAGCAGAAGCCATCAAGATGCAGTCCAGAATTATTCCACTGATTTCACAAAAATTATAGCAAATTGTTGACAAAGTAAGCGAGTGGTAAGGCTTTGCAAACGTTCAAGATGGCGTCGAGTGACCCTGTTGGGTTATGGGCAAAAGTAAGTCGAAGAAACTTCCGGTTTTCAATCACTTCCGACCTCACCTACGCACGAAAACATATCGAAAGGCAAAAAAGAATTTTGTCTATATCGCTAAGATATCAATTAAAGTAAACTTCTGTGATGCGGATATGCAGCCGTGTCGCTTTTATATCAGAGCACAAGATGGATAGGGTGCGAAAGTCTAGAAGCATGATTTACTAAACCTAACATTGACGGCGTCAGAGTGTGCATTTCAACTGGAGATTTCCTAGACACAGTAGTGGGAGAAATGCACATAGAAATGGCTTCAATTTCACACATGTTTTACCTAGCGAGAGCAAAATTTCTTTCAACTGAAAATCTGTTTACACGACAATAGCACGGCAGTAGCAGCTGGAAGTTTTGATAGACAATAGGACAAGACGCCCTCTACCAATCAGATCAAAGATTAAATCTTTTCTTAGAAATCGTCTGCCAATCAGAATAAACTCTTTCTATATTATCTATGCAATGAAAGGAGGCCTACTAACTAGGAAAATTCCCTTTTGTGTTGAAAGGTTTTTGTCAGGAAATCAATAGGTTGAGCTGACTTAAGTTCAGCCATTATGAATTGTTCGTAAACTTTAAATTGTGATTTTTTAAAAGGGTAGAGCCCGGCAACCACAACTTTGACAACCCCATGAACAATACCCTTCTATACCTGCCTTGTACAAACATATAGGGGCACGAGTCATATCTTTTGTGATAATTATTACTATTTAAAAAGGCGTCCATAGCCATCTTGACCACGTGCAAAACTCCGAAAAAAGGAAAATTATACATTGCAATCGCTTTAATCTATTGACTCTCTCTCGCGCGCTCATGAAAAGCGACTGTATCCTTAGCCTACAAACCTCGCAATCGTATTTACGCATTTAGTTGTTTACACTGGCGAGGCATCTTCCGCTAGCATTTCGGCCTTTTTTCAGGATGTTGTTTCTCAAGCCACCCCGAGGCCTTTAAAAGCGCCAGTCGCATTCAATATTCTTTCATAAGGGCAGAAAATCGTATTTTCCTCCTTAGGTCAAATCAAACACCACCGTTGTCGAAAACACATTAGAAATGCGCGTCCGATCGTCGAATCTGATTTCATATGATCATTATTAATTTTCCCATAAGCAGGTAGAACCACGTGATACTGACCGCGGAACCATTCATCTGACTCGCATCCTGTTCAACTTGACAGAAAAAGGAACGACGTGGCGCGGTGAACACAATAGCACCTGCTGTATACGTAATCCACTAAGGCACTATTTCGCCTTAGTTCTACAATTCTGGGATATGGCCGATTTTGGCCACACAACAAGATCACTTTCACCAGTTGACTACAGTCACAGCGACTCGCGAGCGACGTCGCTTTTTTTCCCTGGAAATCTAAAGGAGGAACATTCGGAAAACAAAAATATTAAAAACGGTTCATGCGAAGACTGTTTAGACGACTCGCCAAAATCTAAGGTAAATTCAACGCAGGGAAATACACCTTTGGAGCAAACAAAACTTAATTTCACGAGAGATTCAGAGAACTCCATGTTTCACGATTTTGCAGCATCGACCACGTTTTGGTCGCCAGCCACCGTAGAGGATGTATTTGTACAACCCGGCGCAATTCCACAGCCAGTAAACGGCATTCATTTACCCTCCAACACTCCGGTTATAACCCAGCCACGAAGATTAAATGGGCCGACGAATATGACGACAACAATGAACCATCAGCCAAGAAGACCGATTCCTCATAACTCGGCGTTTATAACGCAAAACAAATCAATGCCTACTATAACAAGTTTGGGGGGATGGAATCAACAGACCCCGCCATCCATTTCAGGCTGGCCTTCACAACAACAAAACTCGTGGGGAAGTCGGCCTTCAAACCACACACTGAACGCCATAAATTTCCCACATGGAAGAAATTCTAGGCCGTCTTCTTTAACACTTCCAAGCTCTTCGCGAATGCGAAATCATCATCGTCTAAACCCTACGTTTCCTCCTGTTTCAAGATCGACCATCTCAACACAGAGCATAACGCAGGGATTACAAAGTTTGAGTCTGAATCGGCAACCCGTGGACGGTACGATTTTGGATGATATCCCTAGCCTTGGAAATTCACATGGCCAAAACAACGAGCTTTCAAACTCCCTTTACTCGTATCAGGTAAAATCATAGAAATTATAAAACATATTTTGAAGGAAACATCATATACAAAAGAACAAGTAGGCACATAAAAAGATACCGTACGTTGGGTGATTCTCCCTTCCAATGCAGATTATTTTTTGAACCGAAATTAAGAAGAGTACAACGTTACGTTCACACGAATACAGTTAGAAACCGTAATAAAGAATCCTTTTATATTAGATAAGAGATGTCTATTTAAAGCCACACGGTATTTTCCATGAAATCGTTAGGAGACGACGAGCGAAATAAAAAATGAGAAATATGGATTCGCTAGAATCAATAATGTTTTCTCCGTCCTTTCACCAAAACATACATAAATTAATGAGGGAAAAAGTTGGCTTAAAGGTACAGCTGCTTCGAAATTATGATGTAAAGTCGTAATAAAAGTGGAAATTTAGGGAAATTTTTTTTAAACCTTTGTGGATCTTAAACTCTCATCACTAATGGATCTTTTGTCTTCTCTTTCCTATTCAGGATTCAATGAAATTTCCATCTTTGGAGACCCGTTTACTTGATATAATTCGTTCTCCTTCGGATCCTCCAGATAACTTAAGCGGTTAGTATGATCTTTTATTACGACGCAAAATCCCTTTATATGTCTGAAGGCACAAGGAAGAAGAAGCATGAATAAAATACCTTGTTCAATAAGAGCCAAAGCAACAGGAACATACAATTCTATCAAATTTTGCCACGCTCATATACCGGCATAACATTTTGTTTTGTGAAATTAGGTTGTGCGCAAACGTACATTGCTTTTAACACATGTTACAGATTTAGCCAGTCTTTATGGGAAATTTCTCTTCCTGAGAGTTCATCTGGTTAATAATGAGTGCGCATCGCGATAGAACATTCATTCACGTTCGCATCTCGCTGGAAATCCCTATTAGACTGCGGTAAAGTAAGAATATGAAAACTTTCATTCCCTACTAATTTCTGGCTCACGGCACCTGCACTTTCCGCGATGGTTCTTTTAATTTTTAATGGGTTTTCAAAATGGCCAGAAACAAGAATATTTGACGTTTCTATTATATCTTCGCTGCTTTCCCTTTCGTTTTGGGAAATTAGATGTTCTACATCTATAAAAGATTTTCTTTAAAACAAAAAATTGATGGGTTAGTGTTGTTGACAATCAGCATTTTTAGTTTTAGTTAAGATAAACCTAAAAAATGGCGGTAAATGCGTAAATCGTGGGAAGAGGACTCGACAGATACATTTGGAAGAAAACTACAAACTACAGTTTGGAAATACTCCTTTCTCAAATTTAAATAAAAAAGAAAATAATTAGAGTACGCTTGTTTCCTAAGTCATATGAATGTCTAGGATGCTACACTGTGGATGCTGATGAAGTACCACTGGTAAAATTGCAAAGGAAGGAAGCCATAAAATTATCCTTACTATTTAATTGTCTCAAAGTCACTTCTCGTATCATTTAAAGAAAAATTGTTTCATGTCGTATTCTAACGAATTGTCGTCGTCGACTGTTAAAGGAAAGAATAACGAAAAATTAAAGATGGACTGCATGAGGGTGCATGGTCGCCGACTGCTTTATTACGGGAAACGACATTTAAATCTATCCTTCGAGTTGAAGTGTGTGCGACGGTCAAAAAGATGAAAAGTCAGAGATGGCGAAGGCCATAATCATTTCATTTAGATCAGAATATTCATTCGAAGGATCACAAAAATGTCCCTTTCTTTGCCTTACATAGAATGAAAAGTTAAAAATCATCCAAGTCATGAAAACATTGTTGAATGTTTTTCATATTGTCTCCACGCCGTTCCGTCCGTTGAAAAACGATAATCAGCTACTTCAGATAATCCTCTGTTTAAATTTGTTGCGTTTGCTTCTTTAGCAATCTTTGTAAAACCATAGTTCTACTAACTCATCTACAAAATCAGACTCCCAGCGGTCTCATTTGGTTGAATAACCTTTTAACGCGAACAAAATTTGTGAAATTACTGTTAGTCCTGAAAGGGAGAAAAAGCACAATATCACCGCTTTTACAACTTGTAGTGAAGGTTTCTCTAGTCCCCTGAGACAAAATCAAAATCACAACAGTTGGGTCTGACTACCAAACATATTTCTTTTCTTTAAGGAAAATAAACGTAATTTGATTTCTATTTAGTGTCGCTCAAGTCTCACTTTTACGGCTCGTGACTGATCAAACACTTAAAATTGGTCAAAAGAAAACACAAAAATGGGAGCTCGAAGGAAACGTCTTTCTTACGCCAAACAAATGAAAAAGGTTTTTCTTATATGACGAAAAACTGCGAAAGTATAAGATCAATGAAGAGGGCTTACGCAAGAAACGCCAACGCAGCTTCGTCCCTGAGGTACAAACAGACCCAGTAACTAAATTTCTTCCGTATTTCAATTCTTCTCTATGAGTGTGAGAATAGGAACAAAATCCATTAATCATCTAAAACAGAGGAAGCGAGGTTTCTGAGAAAAAAGCAGTAAAATGCAGATTTATACGGCATCTCATAGTTAGTAAGATCGCATCTATAAAGCTGACGTTATAATGACTGGTGATGTTTTTTGACGAAAAGAAAATATTCCACCGAAAATTTTGATCAAAAACTAAAAGAAATACAAGGAAAACCCTCAACGAGAAAGGAAAGCTCGGGAGAGACAAATTTTATTGATAATTTATTCAAGTCTACCTTCCTTCCGTTCTTTTTCCCTTTTAAGCTTTCAGCTAAAAAACTGTAGCAGACGTTAAGTAAAGCACCGAGCAAAGTTACCGATATAAAGCTGACGATACCATTGAAGAGAAGAGACGAACGAACTCTCGATCTTTTAAAGGGAATTTTCCTTATTTAAATTGAAATTTAGAGTTCAAATCGAGAATACATATCAGAATTTTTAACTAAAACTTTACTACAGTAAACTGAAAACACAATTAAATCTCTCAGCTGCACGCGGTTTTATATTAATATTCAAAACGAGAAAACCAATTTTAATAGCGAAAAGTAGTTCTGACGTGATGTTTTATTAAAGCTCTTCTTCGCTTTGAAGTGCATTTTCTTGATAGGATATTATTCTGCAATAATTATCAACATTTCCTCTCATACGTTTGGCAAAAAGGACCTTTATATAGGGCCAC